AATAAAAAACTTGGGAATTTTGTTTAAGTGCAAGCCTAAAGTGTATACTAAGATGTATATCAGGAAAATGTCTTAACTTCCATAGGGTGACCCAAAAAAAGTGTGAGTAGGTCGGAATGATATTTTAAATGGAACACCCTGTATGGGATTGCATTTTTCTTGGTTGTAAGTCCTGAGAAATGTCTTCGAGTGTCTTAGACTGTTGGAGAATTTTTATATTCCAGGTTCCGGATGAAGTTTTCCAGGTTCTTCAGTTCTGTTTTAAGTTGGTTTCCACTTGGGAATGGAGTAAAGTGTTCGCTTCTTTTCTAGCTAGTGGAGGACATTTTTACTAGGTAAGATTGTATGAGTGGAGTACTTTGTCTTTTTAAATTATTAGGCACATTAGTTACAAAAAAAATGTAAATTATAGCGAAGTAACACCGAAAAATAATTTCAATGCGCTACTGACCGGCCTTACCCGACCTACGCCACAATTTGATTTCGCACTATTCTGATGCAAAATACATATTTTAAATGCATAACACATAGCCGGCGCCCATTTAAATTTATTTCATGGGTATCAGATTAACAATTTCGCAGAAATGTAGTCGGTCGGGGTAAATTACCTCTAAATACTGTAGCATTAGGAATACTCTTTGCCAGCGAAATTGAAATAATCTACGTGTAAAACGGTTCGGGCTCAAAACCTATTCTCGGAAAGAGGTGTTTGGTAAATTTTCTCTTAATTAGTTCGAAATGAGAATGCTTAGTCAACTGGAAACCATTAATACTTGAAAATACCGGAGGAAATATTTTTGAGCTGGAAATCGGTAGCAAAGCGTCTGTTAATACACAGAGAAATTTAATTAACAGGAATGTAGGTGTTTTAAGGTGTAATTAGTTTGGATTTCAGTAGGGTTTTTTTGTATTATTTGCTTGGATTTCAGTAGTTTTATATTTCCTTAATTATACAAAGTGTTTTAATATTCCGTAGGCATACGGAGCGATTAACAATGATTGAAAGAGTTCGCAATACTGTGTAAAAAGCTAGAACTTGCCAACTCTGAATACAATATTGACCGGTTTGTTTGCAATATGCAGGGTCCGGTAATAATGAGTCGGGCATCTGTAGCTCCTAGAATAAAAAACTTGGGAATTTTGTTTAAGTGCAAGCCTAAAGTGTATACTAGGATGTATATCGGAAAATATCTTAACTTCTATAGGGTGACCCAAAAAAAGTGTGAGTAGATCGGAGTGATATTTTAAATGGAACACCCTGTATGGTATTGCATTTTTCTTGGTTGTAAGTCCTGAGAAATATCTTCGAGTGTCTTATGGTACGTTTAGACCTGAGCGCGCACGACATTCGTTCGCGCTCTCGGCTCCGTTCAAATTAAAAACTTATTTTTCGACGAATGAAGTGATCCATTTGTGCGCGCACAGCAGAGTTGTGTTGGCGAAAATAATGGACGACCAAGAAATAGTCGAGGCTGCAGTCATTAACAGCTTAATTATTAAAAAGAACAAAAATCGAAAACATCGTCGCTGGTGGCAAACCCAAATTTTTAGAAATCGATATAATTTACTGCAACAACTTAGTGTCTGAGGAGGGCTATTATCAGTTCAAAAACTTTACAAGAATGACCAGGCCCGACTTTGAATATTTCCAAATTTAATAACACCAAAAATTACGAACAAAAGATACAAATTTTAGAATAGCAATTTCATTAATATCGACATATTCAATATTAATTTTATTTACAAGGTTTTGCCATGCGTTATATTTTTTTGATTTTTTAATAATACAAAGAATGTTTAGCATCCCATAATATAGGCAACTTTTCATATTTTTCAATTAATAATAACGAAGATTCATTGATCCACTCCATAATTTTAATAAAGAAAACGAAAAAAAATTATACACGCACGCACGAACGCAGACAAAACAAATTGCCGGTCCAAATTGAGCGTTCGCGCACACATAAAATCCCTTTGAGCACGGACCAAAAACCGACACCAGACGCGCACGAACAGATACAGAGTGAGCGTGCGCGCACAGCCGTTTACACTTGAGCATTCGCGGAGGATCAGTGCGTGCGTGCTCAAGTCTAAACGCACCATAAGACTGTTGGAGAATTTTTATGTTCCGGATGAAGTTTTCCAGGTTCTTGAGTTCTGTTTTAAGTTGGTTTCCACTTGGGAATGGAGTAAAGTGTTCACTTCTTTTTTAGCTAGTGGAGGACTTTTTTCCTAGGTAAGTTTGTATGAGTGGAGTACTTTGTCTTTTTAAATTATTAGGCACATTAGTTACAAAAAAAATGTAAATTATAGCGAAGTAACACCGAAAAATAATTTCAATGCGCTACTGACCTGCCTTACCCGACCTACGCCACAATTTGATTTCGCACTATTCTGATGCAAAATCCATATTTTAAATGCATAACACATAGCCGGCGCCCATTTAAATTTATTTCACGGGTATCGGATTAACAATTTCGCAGAAACGTAGTCGGCCGGGGTAAATTACCTCTAAATACTGTAGCATTAGGAATATTCTTTGGTAGCGAAATTGAAATAATCTACGTGTAAAACGGTTCGGGCTCAAAACGTTTTCTCGGAAAGAGGTGTTTGGTAAATTTTCTCTTAATTAGTTCGAAATGAGAATGCTTAGTCAACTGGAAACCATTAATACTTGAAAATACCGGAGGAAATATTTTTGAGCTGGAAATCGGTAGTAAATCATCTGTTAATACACAGAGAAATTTAATTAACAACTGTGTAGGTGTTTTAAGGTGTAATTAGTTTGGATTTCAGTAGGGTTTTTTTGTATTATTTGCTTGGATTTCAGAAGTTTTATATTTCCTTAATTATACAAAGTGTTTTAATATTCCGTAGGCATACGAAGCGATTAACAATGATTGAACTAGTTCGCAATACTGTGTAAAAAGCTAGAACTTGCCAACCCTGAATACAATATTGACCGGTTTGTTTGCAATATGCAGGGTCCGGTAATAATGAGTCGGGCATCTGTACCTTCTAGAATAAAAAGCTTGGGAATTTTGTTTAAGTGCAAGCCTAAAGTGTATACTAGGATGTATATCAGGAAAATATCTTAACTTCCATAGGGTGACCCAAAAAAAGTGTGAGTAGATCGGAGTGATATTTTAAATGGAATACCCTGTATGGTATTGTATTTTTCTTGGTTGTAAGTCCTGAGAAATGTCTTCGAGTGTCTTATGGTGCGTTTAGACTTGAGCGCACACGGCATTCCCCGGGTTGTTTTTATTTTTTTTCGGTTTTTTTTTTTTTTTAAAAATGTTTAAAACCTTATTTTTCGACGAATGAAGTGATCCGTTTATGCGCGCACAGCAGAGTTATGTGTTGGCGAAAATAATGGACGACCAAGAAATTGTCGAGGCTGCAGTCATTAACAGCTTAATATTAAAAAGAACAAAAATCGAAAAACATTCGCGCTTGTGGCAAGCCAAATTTTAGGAATCGATATAATTTACTGCAACAACTTTGTGTCTGAGGAGGGCTATAATCAGTTCAAAAACTTTCCAAGAATGTCCAGGCCCGACTTTGAATATTTACAAAATTTAATAACACCCAAAAAGTTTACGAACAAAATACAAATTTTGAATAGCAATTTCATTAATATCGACATAATCAATATTAATTTTATTTACAAGGTTTTGACATGCGTTGATATTTTTTTTGATTTTTTAATAATACTTATCTTGACAAAAGAAATATATTTTCTTACCGTTTTTCAAAATGAGTCCAAAATAATCGAGACATTTTACTTTAAAAATTTAAAAAGACATTTTTAGAAAGATTTATTTTTAAATAATTTTGTAGTCACCTATTTTTTTTTCTGTATTTGCATCCATTCTTCTAGTGTCGTAACCATAGAGTAACCAAGCCGTAAGCATGGTAGATTAAAAATTATACCGTTAATGGGTAAATTTGCGGCGAAGTTCTACAAAGTTTTCTAAAATATAAAGGAATTTTTTTAAAATGCACGATTTTCAAGGCGGGGGAGCGTTCCCCGAAAGCGCTAGAGTAATATCGCGCTTTGGATAACTGTCTGCTGCTGATTTAAAGAAACTTCTTTTTTGCCCAAATTTTTATATATTGGCTTTTAAAATGAAATGGGACATTCCACAAATGGGTATGCATGTGAGCCATATTTTTTCCAAAATTTCATGCCTCTTTCGCGTTGTCTGCTGGCATTTTAGCAACGAGAAAATGGGCCAATTTTCACCTTATTAGTAAATAAAAAGCTATTTCCGTCTGGCTGAGATACCGCAGTACAGACAGCATAGCTGCATCATGATCACCATGTTCATCTGTCCCTTCCTAAGTCTCTACGCATTATTGACATAACCGTTTCCCACTCTCCATTTCACACCTCATGCATAAGTGTTAAGAATTTTAATTTGTATTGAAGCGTCTTTTTAAAATCCTGATCTTCCTTTGTTAAATATTTTTAAGTTGCTTTCATTAACTTTTCTTTGGCTTCTTTCTCCTCTAACTTATTAATTGGTCCAAAAGTCAACTACAGACTTACGCCAAATAACTCATTAGTATTGGACCGTAATAGATTGGCGTGCCAGCTAATCATCCCCCTCACGATCAACAAGTTTATAAGTCTGGATTAGTTTCTTTTTTAGTTCATGAAAGAGAACCACATAGACGAGGACTGCATCCTGAAGTTATCCCACAAAGACAAGGAGGTCCCAGCACTATTTTGTCAGAACTATTTGTAAAGATGCTTGTAAACCACAACTTGTCAGTTAATCAACTTTTCTTTAACCCTAGCTATAAAATCATTTTGTAGAAAATAAAACTTATTTATAATATTGTGGAATAATGTTAGTAATTAGTTTATTTTTTGTTTAAGAAACCTAATTAATATATCAGATTTAAATGTATCTTCAGAAGAAGATATAATTAGTAAACATGCAGCTTTTTAGTTTTTCTGTGTTTTTTAACTTTTAGCGTGAACCACAGACCATTGAACTGCTATGATAAGAACTGTTATGCTGTGACTGCAGTGGGATGGCATTTGGGACATTGTTTCTTTATGGCTTATTAATCAAAGTCTTCAAGATGTACTTTAATAGAAACTTGTCTTGTTCCATCATTGTGTTTTCTGAGAACAAAGAAATAGAGTTTAAAAGAAATATTTAATTTTTTATTAATAAGTAATAAGGTAATAATAAAAATAAAGTTTTTTTTATAATATATAATTAAATGAATAAAAATAAAAAAAAAAAAAAAAAAAAAAAAAAAATAATATTAATCAATTTAAAAAAAAAACCAAAACATTTTTATAAAACAATTTTTTTTTTTTTTTTTTAATTATTTAAGCTTAAAAAGTTAATTAATGAAATGAACTGAACTCTAAATGTTAAATACTAAAGATTATACTAATTAAATTTTTTCTCACATATTTAACATTTTGATCACTAAATTTTTTACCACATGCTTATTTTTATAGTATTATTAATATTGGCATAATTGGCAAGGTTTTTGACATGTTTGGTATTAGTCAGAATATTATGAAAAGTTTCTAGAAAGTTAATAACTCTAAAACAACTTGATGTTATATATTCTACCATCAACTTTATTTTTAAATAGGTATTTGACTTTTATTTTATTCATTTTTTCTACAAAATGCCAGGGATCTTCATTTCTAAGCCATATCTAACGCTGTTTTTTCTTTCAATCTTGTACATTGATGGCACACTTGCCCAAATATTGTGTACAATCAGACTAAGAGCATTACCATATGGACGACTCTCCAAAGCAGGCTAAAGCGTTCCTTTAAAAAATCGCTCTTATTATTATTTTATGTAATATCCAGAATGGGCCCTTCTTTGTGGAACATAGAAGTACAAAACTGGAACAGAAAATTATTTTCAGGAGAAATATTTCTTGTTTTGTTGTTGGAGAGACTTTTTATTTTAACTGTGTTTTTTTTTTTTTTGTTATTATTTTAATATTCGAGGGATAATTTCATATAATAGTTCAGGAAATAAGTCTCGGCGTATACAGGGTGGTCCGAATTGTATTCCGGAAACTTCGACAGCATATTCTGCAGATAAAAATAAGTAAAAAAGTTCGTATGCCCTAAAATGCTTAGTTTCTTAGCTGTAGATGCAATCTACCGTTGCTCGAAATCAGGATGGATCACTGAAGATTTATTTCTGGAGTGGTTAAAGCATTTCGCTCAATATGTAAATGTCTCTACTGTAGATCCAGTGCTAGTAATTTTAGATAATCATGCCACACACTCTTCCTTGAAGTCTTATAAATTCTGTCGTGAAAACGGGATTGTTCTTGTTTCACTGCCCCCACACAATTCCCACCGGCTCCAGCCTCTGGACGTCACATTTTTCAGTTCACTAAAGACAGCATATAGTAAGGAATGCGATATTCATATTATGAAGACCCATCATTATAGCAAAATTAAAGTGACTGACATCGCAGAGCTCTTTGCCAAAGCTTATAATCGCATCACTTCTAAAGAAAAAGGTTTAAATGGGTTTAAAAATACGGGTATATTTCCGTTAGATAGAAACCTATTTGGTGAGGAAGAATTTACTGAAATGTCAGTAGAAGCAACAGTAGGAGCAAATTCCGACATCGAAGCCTGGAACTAGTACGGCTTCAGACTGACCATATGTACCAACCAAAAGCTACTATAAAAAATATATGCGTCAAACTACACCGCCACTGGAAACCTATAATACGAAGCCGCGTGCTAATTTAGAGAAAAAAAGGCGTCAGCGCAGGTCATCTTCCAGCGATAGCTTTTCAACAGACATTACAGAGGTCTCCGACGAAAACGCAACCGATGATGGAGACAAGACCGTTCTATTAAAGAGTACATCCTTTGAAGACTTTCATACCACACCCCGATTAATAGAAAAACCACTCTTTAAAAAAAGAAAACAAATGTCCCAAATACTAACATCCACTCCGCTGCAGGCATCTTTAGCCCTTAACTGGTCCGGCAATAGATATGTATCATAAACGGTCCGGCGTAGTCTGTAGGACTACGCCTTCTAAAAAGTTTAAAAAACACAGAAAAACTAAAAAATAACAAATTTTTATTTCATTATATATTCTATTATGTATTATTGAACTAATATAGACAAAAATGTGTTTAATTTGATATAAACTTTAAGAAGATATAGTACAAAATACAATAACATACATATAAATTAATTAGGTTTTTACTAAGCTCTAAAAAATAAAACCAAATTACTAACAGTCATTACAATATAGAAATAAGTTTTTAGTACTATATATAAAAAAAATAAGTTATAAAACTGGGGTTAAAGAAAAAGTTTTTAGTTACAGCATGAGGCAAAGTTTATTGGTTTCCTAAACATGTTTTACAAAATGGATTCGTACATTCTAGGCATTAAAAATAATTAACTAGGACATAACATTGTCTTTAACTAGGATAAAAACTCCAGGATAAGAATATCTAAGTGGGCGTGTTTTGGGTGTACAGGAATTGGAAGTATTCTACTGATTGTAAAGTGTATTTCTCGTGGAATATTTGACATTGTCAAAGGCATTTGTCTGGCAGATTGTCACATTGTTACTGCCACAGTCCTCATCATATCATTTTAATAGAGTTTCTTCATAACTAGAGTCTCCTAAACGCACTCTTTTCGAAGGCCCGGCTATATAGTACAAAAATTTGTTACACACAAAATCTTACGCAAACGGTCCGGCGTCGTCTGAGAGACTACGGGTTAAGTAACTTCTGCCAGAACTTCTAAAAAACTAATCCAGTTTGGGCATAAATATGGCTATCATTTGTTGATCGTGAGGGGGATGATTAGCTGGCACGCCAATCCTGTAGGCGGTCCCAGTAACTAATGAGAATGAGTTAATTATTTGGCGTAGTCTGTCAGACGACGCCGGACCAGTTAATGGTTAGAGGAGAAAGAAGCAAAGAGAGAGAAAAAGAAAGTTGACGAAGCAACAAAAAAAATATTTCAACAAGGAAGATCGGTGGGATTTAAAAAGACAGCAGCTAAAACACAAATTAAGGACAAGTCTAAACGTAAACAGCAACATAGAGAGTGTATGAAACATGTAAACATGAGAGTGTGTGAAACATGGAGAGTGTATGAGAACGATTTATGTCCAATATGCGTAGAGACTGGAAGGACAGATGAACTGTGGTGGCGGTGCAGATCATGTGGTACTTGGCTTCATGCTGTCTGTACTGCGGTATCTCAGCCAGACGGAAATAGCTTTTATTTATTATTAAGGAATGTGAAAAATTGTTGGCAGACATTTTCCTTGTCGCTAAGATGCCGACAGACAACGCGAAAGAGGCATGAAATTTTGGAAAAAAATATGGCTCACATGCATACCGATTTGTGGAATGTCACATTTATTCATTTTAAAAGCCGTATATAAAAGGGTAGACAAAAAGTTCGTGGCTAAATCAGCGGCAGACAGTTATCAAAAGCGCGATATTACTCTAGCGCTTTCAGGGAACGCTCCCCGCCTTGAAAATCGTGCATTTTTTAAAAAAATTCCTTTATATTTTAGAAAACTTTGTAGAACTGTCTGTTCGCCGCAAATTTACCCATTAACGGTATAATTTTTTAATCTACCATGCTTACGGCTTGGTTACTCTATGGTTACGACACTAAAAGAATGGATGCAAATACAGAAAAAAAAATAGGTGACTCACAAAATTATTTAAAAATAAATCTTTCTAAAAATGTCTTTTTAAATTTTTAAACTTCAACGGTTATTTTGGACTCATTTGAAAAACGGTAAAGAGAAAATATATTTCTTTTGTCGAGATACCAGCCCTGAACATATTTGCACTTATCCCAGACTCACCCTGTAGAGTAATATCGCTCTTTTGATAACAGTCTATCGCTGATGAGCCACGATTTTTTTGTCTGCCCTTTTGCATACGGCTTTTTAAATAAATAACTATGAGATTCCACCAATCGGCATACATGTATGCGGTTATTTATTTTGTCAAATTTCATGCCTCTTTCGCTTTGTCTGCCGGCATTTTATCCACAAGAAAAATATCTGCCAACAATTTTCCACGTTACTTAATAATAAATAAAAGCTATTTGGCAATTATAACGCGTGTACCTTATAATATTTTTAGTGTCAAAATTTCACCCTTTCGATTGGCCGCCCCTGCTTTAAGCCCCGGGATCGTGCTGGCAGACATGATTATTTCATAATGGCTACACACAAGGATACTTCGTACGATGATAAGGTTTTTTTATGTAGCCAGCTCTCTGTATATGGCCAGTCCGAGTCTGCTCGACAGAACTATAATTTGTCCTAATAAAAATTTAAAAATAAAAACGATATTAAAGGCTTTGTGATAAATGAATCACCCTGTATAAATTAACTACTTAATCGTAGCGTTCTAATCAACTTTTATTGGCACATCGTAGAAATAGACACACACACATGCAGCGTTTAATACATTTTTTCTTTAATTACACTCGTTAAGTTACACGAGGCAATTATATGTCGAAATGGTATTATGCGAGATTTGCGTGCTTTCGCACTAGCAATAATATTATTCGCCCACCGTGCCACCGTTAATTTCCTTTTTTATTTTTGGCGTTACGACCAACTTTGACGTTTGAACTTTATAAACGTTTGGTCCGCCGACGACGGCGACCTTGCTCTTACGCTGTAAAAGTCCCAATCTGGGGGAATGGTTTTATTTTATCGAGATCTTGACCCGATTTGGTACGCGGGTGACCTTTGCTGGTCACCAGGAACATGTATGTAAGAGGGTATGGGCGTCAGTTTAGTTGCTTTTGTTCGTTTGTCAATTTGATTAAGCAATTTTATGCAATTTGTCCGAAAAGGTAAGAATGAGTAATTTCGTTTATTTGTAATACTTTAAAAAATTTCGTTTTTTGGTAAAGTACTTTCCGTTTCTGTAGTAATTAAATCGAAAGTAACTAATAGCCACTGACATTTAATACTTATTTCTATATATCAAATAGCCTCCCCCATAAAAGAGAATATTTAGTCCGCGGACTTGGTATG